AAGAAGAAAGATACCAAGAACATGCATAGTTTTCTTTCAAAACTGATTTTGCATAAAGGGAATTTCACTTCTTTTCATCTTAAACTTCCTGCATTTGTACTTGCAACAGTATAACAACTACAGAGAACAGGACACATTCCCCCAAGAAATCACATTAACTTTGCAGAAGTCGGGAGAATATGTCTATGCAGCAGAGAACGATGAAGACCTCTGAGCGCAGCTCAGTAACCAGAAGCCTCAAAGCGCAGAGCTCAGAGCACAGTTCATGTTATCATATATATGCTTGCCTTGACTTCCGCGCTGGTGTGTCTAGACTGCTTCCAGGACTGAGATGAGCTCAGGTATCTCTACACTGCACTGCAATCTGCAGCCTCCTGTAATCTGCTATGATCCAAACTAAATCTGTAACACAGTTCCATCTATCTTTCTGCCCTAACACAGTGTTTAATATGCCTGGAGAATACCTAATTCACGGTATACGAATTGACAACGTTTGCTCTTGAGTTCACATTCAAGATTCAGTCACAATTTCCACACATGAAAGAGTAAGTCATATTACATACTATCTTATTTCAGTGCGTAGAAAAATGCTCTTCTGCAAGGAAGCTTAATGATGTCACCAATATTAACAGTGGCATCTATCAGCTACCAGCTTCATAATGCTGAATTGAAGTGTCCCATTTAAGACATACCTCTTAGCCTTTTTGCCAAGAAATAACAGCGTGCCTCTGCTAAGTCTCTTTCTCACACTGTATTTTATATTTGTGAAATGAAACCTCTTTTTAGCTTCCAGTTCCTAGACATTTTATTCATTTTAAAGATATAAGAAGTTACCTGAACTAGAAGATATTTTGTATTATAATTAATATTTAAGTCATGGAATGTTTAGTGATGTACATGATAATGAACTAGATCATATTCCAGTGCCTTACTCTTAAAAAATACCACATTTTAAAGGCATTTCAGAGGACACAAAGGAAGAGCAATATTTGCTGATGGGTTATAAGTGGAATCGCTCTGTAATCTTTTCTAGAAAGCACTGAAAATAAGTTTCAACTACAGTAATTTTCAGGCTTATTTTAAAGACAAACCAGGAGACTCTCCAAAAGCAGAACCTCCAGAGTCTCATGTGTAGCTCATCTATCAAAGAACTGCAAGATCAAATCATCTGTCATAGTCCAACTGTATCAATAATCTGCAATTTGAGAAGCAATCAGTAGACAAGAGTTGGAGCGTTAACTTCATTTTCACTTGTGGCCATCTGGATACACGTAGCCGTATTAGCTTTGGGAGTACAAACGCTAGTTGCATTACTAAGTAACACAACATGCTAGTCATTTATTTTTCCGCTTCTATTTAAGTAATTTGCTCCTTCAATACAATCCTACAAATTGGTAGGATGCCTACCAGCATGCCCAAGAAACAAAACTAAATTACAAATACACTAACCTGGTTTGACTGCCCAGAAAGGTAAGGTTCAAAGTCGTTGTCATGAACTGTATCCTTCTGGTGTAATGAACCATTTTGTACTGGAAGAAGAGAGTTACAACAAATCACAACACTGCTTAGTAGCATTTCAGTAAACAGTTCCACCCTAATGTTACTTTATGAAGAGTCATATTCTTCTCCATGGCACAAAGAATCTTCAAAGATAAAAGGATCATACTCATCCCCATATAATCTTTGCATTACTGCTTGTAACAATTTGAATATATTTAATTTAAACCTCTAAATTTAAAAAGTTTAATTTTTCTACAGATGAGTGAATCATCAACTCATGTGAACTATTTCTGAACCAAAAAACAACAATCCTCGACAAGAACGTGTTGAAAAATATTGGGAAATCACATCTAAGGCCCTGGTCCACGATTAGAAATCTCAGAAACTAATTAACAACTCTCCCTGCATGTACTATCTATTGCTCGTTTAAGTTAAGTTGGCCAAAGTAAGAAAATCAAGTGAGGTTGTATTTAATTTTAAAAAATGACTGCGGATTATCTTGATATCCTGACAACATTTGCAAGCAAAACACAAGTCTCACCTTTCTCATGGAGGTATCCACGAGACTGAGATTTATACCTTAATCAAAGGCTTATATAAGCATAAATTAATGTGAAAAGCATTCAAAACCCATTCCTGAAAGATATTATACGAAAGCAAAATTGTTATTAGGTCACTTCAAGCAATTTCCACTGTTTGTTTTAAATTTAAAAAAGAGATCATACACACTATGTGGTGGGAAAATAAAGCAACTGTTTCATAGAACAGCTAAGTTAAAAATAACGCTATATGAAATAAGATGTTTAACAAACAAGTTTGGGAATTTATGAGATTTTTGAGAAAGTCCGTCAGCGACAACAGCATGTAAGAGAGTACTGATAAACACGGGATATAGAGTCAAACTTCTGGAGACTCCAGGCAGTTGAATTTTAAATTTTTTTTGTTTAAATATCGTAACCAGCCTAAACGAATGGCAAGATTTGGTTAGTTTCTAAGCCTCAACAGTTACACACTTATTAGCAATCACAATAATAATCAGAGTATTTACTTAAAATACTTGTTATTTAATTTTAATTTCAGATTAAGTACAGGAATTGTCATAAAAGTCTTACCTCATCAGAAGTGGGTTAACTATTGTTATTTCAAATTACTTAGTTTGTAGACTTCGAATTACTTAGTTCGTATTATGACAATTAGCATATATATGTCAACAGCAGTACACTAACAAAATTGTATTTATATAGCAAGAACACAGTATGCAAAAGTATGTGAAAATATATCTTGAGTATGAGGTCTCTGTGACTTTGTTATGTTGAAAACTGCTTTACTTTAAGGAAATTAAGAGCGTTATTATAAATATGCTTAATGCTAACCCACAGTCCTTCCCACTATAAACTCGGTAGCAATAAGTAGGATGCAAACGTGCTCCTAAGAGTAACGGTTAATATTATTTTTGAAACAAAGCACAACTTCCTTTGTTCCAGATGTTATCTGTGGGGACTGACAGCAATACTTATCTGCTTATGAACAGTTACCTGCATGATTTATCTGTTATAACAACAGTTTAAACAGCAAAATCTCAGCATATTCCTTACCTTTATTATCCTGCCCTTTCGGTCTCTGGGAAGCCACAGCACATGACAGAGTAAAAGAAAAAAGGGGAGGGGGGAGGACAGAAAAGAAAAGTTAATTTTGGAAAAATGCTCATATCGTCACTGCAAAGCACGCAGCTTATAGAGACAGAAAAAGTCTCTTAAAAACGGCTAATGACAAATCGAGGTTTGTTTAAACCGGGGCTGAGGCGTTCATTTCAGGTATCATTCGGCACTGGCCTTCCTCAGAAATGGCCACGGCTCTGGAAAGGCAACGGGAACGCGAGGTGCCTGGGGGGTTAGCTAACAAGAAAGATGAAGCCAAAAAAAGGAGCCGGGAGGCAGGGGCAGATCCTCTCTCGGGCCCGGGGCAGTCCCGGGCTGCAGGAGGACCCCCGCCCCGGGGCGGGGAGGAGGCAGGCCCTGCGCCCCGCTTCGCCGCTTACCTGAGGGTCAACGCTTGTGGCAGACATAATTCATGTACAGGGCCGCCGTGGTTCAGCA